GTACGAGGACACGGGACATAAAATGGCCCGCTAGATTTAAGGATTATGTAATGAAAAAGCTGTAAAATGTGAAAAAAAATAAAAATAAAATATGTTTAGTATATGTATAACTAACTAGGAATTGAGAAAAATGTAGAATGAAAAAGGAAGGATGTTAGCTATAAAATTTAAGAATAAGAAAATTAGAATCGAATGTAAGGATTCATCGATTTAAAGGCGTAATTTAGGTGATTATGGAAATAATTGTATAACATTTGGTAGACACTTAGAAACATGCCATCAGAAAATAATAAGTACCAAGAAAACGACGAACTCGTTCCGCTACCACGTATCCATGTCGAGATGGAAAGTTTGGACAATGTTGTTCTAGAATGAAACTCCGACGAGCCAGTAGGAGCAGTCACGAAGACCATGGTAACAGTAGCCAACAGCCAGTAACCACGAGGGAAGTGTTGTGAAAAGTGAAAAGTCAAAAAGGGTGTAAGTGTAACGTATAACTAGCAAACCAGCGAGACCACCCTTGAGCAGCATCAGCATCCAGATCGTAGCTATCCTAGCTATGATACCTACTACTGTGAGATTGACAGCGAGACTACAGGCCACCAACCAATGAGTCGTAGTGGAAGGCCGCAATATAGGCCCAATCAATATAGGCCTAATGAGTAACCAGCGCTTCAAGTAAACTTTGCTACAAGCAAGGGTAATTATTTTGTAAGATTGAAATTTGTTTTGTGTCGTTCTAGCATCAACAATTTTGAAGGGAAATATTAGATGGAAATTGTATTAATGAAGAAATAATTAACAAAATTTTGATGCGAGGATAAAATCTAGTGTTGAGTAAAGATTTATAATTAATCTTTAATAATTATTATTGTAAATTGAGTTGCGAAATTACACAGGAAAAGTTAATTTCGTATTACTTTTGTTGTTTTAGTAAAATTTTGAAATATAACAGATATTTTTGAGAAATGTGAAATTTAGGATGGAAAAGCACGTACATAATTAGGTTGAACGATCTGATAAATACGCGGATAATATTATCGTGAAATTTTTAAAATTAAGAAAAGTAACCCATAACTCACAGAGGGGTCACCGACCGAACCTTTTACAAGGCAGGCACCTAATTTATGGTGAAATTCGATACATTAAAGGGACAGTTGAATAAGAGTTGACCGAAATTATCTTATTCAATATAATTTCGGTTTTAAAGGGCAGAGGGATGTAATATTCCGAGAAAAAAGACTCATAAATCACAATGTCATTTACTGTAAAAATTAAATAATTAATCAAACAATCAAAAACTGAATTTCCGTATCTATAAATCTGTATCGATAAATTAAAAATAAAACAAATTAACGCTAAAGTATTGCAACACCGGCCAAGTCATCATCTAAATTAAATTCTTAAAACTAATAAAAACGAGGTGATGACATCTGTAAAACCCGATCAATGAACCTTTCTTAGCCAAGGCCTTTCCGCTTACCAAAAATTGAGTCGAATGAATTATCGCATTCTTGAACCCAAACGTGTTGACCTCAATAAATCAGATTATTGCGACATAATTAATCGATTTTTAGACTAAAAATAATATAAAATTCCAAGGAAATTGCATCATCTTAATTGTCATGGACAAAGAGGTTTGGAATATCGGTTTTATATAAATATCGCGATTCTAGCAGGAGCAACCAGTTGAAGTTAACAGAGAGAAGAGCTCGCAGACCTGCCCAAACTGAATAAAGATTTTTTTTTAAGTTTATTTTACGGCCTCGGTAACAGTCTTTGTAAAAATAGCGGAAAGTTTTGAAAGAAAGTACATTTAAATTCGTCAACATTTATGTGCGTGCTAGCTAAACATTTTGCGTAATTAATTAAGTAATTTTACGTGTGTTTTATGGACAAAATGTAAGTACTCTATAGTGACAAGATTTATTTTTGATGAACATGACTTTGTGTGAATTTTACTAGAAAAACTTTTGACTTTAATCACGGTGGAACTTTATTACAATAAAATTATCAACTTGAGTGTTTTATAAAGGAAACATTATCGCCTAACTTCAATTACCTTCAGATATAATGACATTCTAATTTAATTGTGCAAAGAAAATATTAAGGGTACTTATAATGCATTTAACAATATACAATTTTGAGTTGGAATTATGAATTAAACAGTTGAATTTATTAGCTAGGCATAGGATTCCGAAAATAGAATTTGTTCTGATAAACTATTAACTGCAATAGGAAATTTTGAAAAGAAATTTGATGACATAAAATAGAATTGTTTTCTTGAAATATTGGAATGTTGTTAAAAAGGAAACTTATAATAGAATTTGTTCTGATTAAATAAAACTATTAAAGGGAATAGAAAATTTTGGAAAGAAACTTGAAGTTCATGAAATAGAATTGTCTCAAAAATATGGGAAAGCTGTTAGAAGAATTTATTGTTCATGAAATGAATTTTGAATTAGGAATTTAATGTTTCAAGTAGAAGTTATTGTAAGATTTTATGAGAATAAAATAGTTGATAAACAAATAGGTAATTATTTTGGGTTTTCATAAATAAAGGACTTAGAGATTTTAAAGAAATATTTGATTAGGTAAAGGATAGTTATTAGGAATGATTCGGATGTAGTAAAATGAGTTAAATTATAATTTATGAGAAATAGTATGAATAGGACGTTTCTTATTTAGTAGGGATATTTCAGTGGTCCGTAAAATAACAATATAGAACGGATGTGAAGTATTGATTTTACAGAAATAAAGAAGGATGTAAAGTATTGGAAGATATTTGGCTGATGATTTTTGGGTTTTATGTGAAATAAAATATAATTTAGTACACCTAATTAGTTTGTTTCTCTCTCTTGCAAATAGACCTTCTTCCACAGATTTTAGATAGCAAGCTCCAAGTATATAAACACCATCAATATACCGCTCGCCATTTACCATCTAACAATTTATATAGAGTACCTACTTGGGGCGTTTTGCTACAAAATAATAAAGTCTCGTAATTGTTAATTTCTCTCTTGATATTTATATATTTTTTTTCTGCTTTGTTTTTATTTATTTTTATTTTTTTGTTCTGTTCATAATGGAAACTTCAGAATAATAACCGCTATGACCTAATATGCCTTTTATAATGTTAAGTTATTGTGGGTGGTTTTGTGGAAGAGCAACATTGTTGAACACCGCCACCCAGTTATTTTGTTTGTTTGTTACCTATTTTTTGCAAGAAAATAAAGACACATATTATTATTATTATTATTATTATTATTATTATTATTATTATATAATAAAAAGTCATAATTTTATTTTCCATTAATAAAAGTTTATCGCGCTCGACTTTGTTTACTTTTTTTACTCTTCATAATAAATCTGCCCCAATACCAATGAACATAATTATTATTAACATCTTATATAGCCGGGATCCATGACAGTTACCGGTGGTTGTTGATGACGTCATTTAAAACGCGCCATAACCGGGATTCGTATAAATACCGGTGGCGGGAGGCTAGACACAGCGTATGAAATATCATCACTTTTTGGTATTACTTAACTCTATACGACTGTTGTGGAAACAGCCAAACAATCGTATTTATTTTTTATGATCACAGTGGCAACGTTGCAAAAAAGCCCCCCGCCGTGAAACTTTGCCGCTGGCGCCGTACCAGGCTGTACGCATCGACCGAGTCTGGTTGTTGTCGCTAAGGGAAAAAATGCATTCCTTATCTTTTTCACTTCGCAGTGTGATTTTTAGCAGTGTGATTTTAGTAGTGTGGTTTCACTAGCAGTAAATAGTGCGTAAAAACGTCTAGCTCTATACAAGTTTGAACCTGCTCACTTTTCTCTAATTATTTAATTATTCTCTCTAGTTGCACCCTTGTGCAGTCTCTCTCTCGCTCTCTAAATAAAAAGACTTATTTTTTATCTCTCTGGCTGCTGGCTTGAAAACTCAAGTGATATAATATCGCATAAAACATTGAGTTAATCACACTCCCCTTTTTTAAGGGCTCTCTAAAAATATAAAAACTCTCAACTCCCGAAGATTTCTATTAAGAATAAACTTTATCTTGTGCTCTTAACTAAAATATTAGCGTTCCGCTAATACTGACAATTATTGTTAAATTGACTATTGAGCACTTACAACTAGTGAATTTATACCGATTAGTGAATGTTCTCGAATAACTCAAATGCGACTTGTTAACTAACCTGTGAATAATTAAAAGTACTTGAATGTGGTTACAGTATTTATTACTTTATTAAACGATTATTTTGGCAACAATAGAGAGATATAAAACTGGAAGTGTGAGTGCATTATTTAGCAGTGACATCCCCATCCCCTTTATGATCCAGTGATCTATCCCTAAATTAAATGTTGACACCTCAGTTAGAGGCCCTAACAACGACAATTCTCTTATTCAAAACTGGCTCTTTGACTAACATACTAGGCGCTTTATGGACACGTGAATAGTATTAATAAACCTGAATTGACTTTCGATCAATTATTTAATTCACCACAATTGAACATTGAATCAGCTATTTATTGGAAGGGGGATCGTCCTTGGCAGTTTTCACAAAAAGGACTTCTGGCCTCAGACATGTACACTTGGCCAAACATAAAACTGGTACAGGCGATAGGTATTTTTTAAATTTGCCTAATGTGAGTCTAGCTTAACAATAAAATGTTTCTTCTAAAAAACTCAGGTTAGACAGTTTTTGACATTCGGCATTGTCGTTCATTGTTGTCGAATGCATTTGCGGCGGCATTTTGTTTGATTTAAAGATGACACTGACTTGACTCCTTTTGTCATTTTTGAGGTGATAATAAAGGTCGATTTACACAATACAACACATAGGAAAATGCATGTACCAGTTTTATGTTTGGCCAAGTGTACCCTTTTATCTTTTTTAGTTTCAAAGATATTAGCTATTAAAATGCTTCAGCTTCGGCTGGGACACCCGGTTTTATACTGATGATGTGTGTATAGTGATTTTTTTTTTTTTAGGTGTGGGTTGACATGGAAAACCCTAAAGAAAACAATTCACGTACATCCTACTGATGCAGCAGAGTTCATCAAAATGAGCGTAACCAAGAGATCTATGCAAGACCCAAATCCAGGAGCATGTTGTAGTTGATTTTGTATTTATGTTTTTTCTAACATAACCGTTTTCAATTTTACCAGAATGATCGCTTCTTTTCAATTTGGTAAAGATATTGTTTGTAGAAGACATGCGTAGCAACTACTGATTTCATCAAATCAGAAAGCCAAATATATTTAACAGGAAAAATGGATAACATTCAATTAAGAACCGATACCGACGCGACGTTGTCGAAATCTAGTAGTGTTAGTCGGAGAACGAGCAACGTCTAGGATGCACCCTCTATAACACTCGCGAACAACCTTCGACAAAAAATTGATTCTTATGTACATTGACCTGGCGGATCCGATTCTGGAGTTCGCCAGTCAATCTGGAATTGCGAAACTGGGGGCCTTTATTTGAAATTGATGTAACTTTGCGTACACGCAAATATGACGCAGATGACGTCAGTTTCGATTGAAAAAATACATTTCAAATAAGCTGTGCACTAATTTTCAATCACGAATGACGTTAATTGCGTCTACGCAAAGTTGCATCAATTTCAAATAAAGCCCCCCTGGTCAAAACCCGCATTTTCCAAAAAATCTTAAATTAATCTTAAGGGGGCAACATCGCTCCCATGCACACGATACAAAATACAGAAATCAAATTTAGACTACAAAAAAAAAACCGCACATCAGAATTTGCTGAAATTTGGCATAAACATTCCTTGATCGATTATCTAGAGAATAGTGCAGTTAGATTTTTCATATTTCGATTTTTTTTTTGGCCCTTAGTGTGAAAATGAACTATTTCCCAAAAATAGGAAAATCCACGGTAAAAATTGAAAAAATAAGAGCACTATTCTCTAGATAATCGATCAAAGAATGTTTATGCCAAATTTCAGCAAATTCTGATGTGCCGTTTTTTTTTTGTAGTCTAAAACCGATTTTGGAATAAAATTACAGATATTTTGGCAAATATAGTTCAGGCTTTTTTTCGAAGATGGCGCCACCAGTCAATTCGTGATGTCATAATTAGGCGTTTTCGAAAACCCCGAACCGTTGGAGCAGCAGCTGATGTAGGTTGTTCAACGTTTCCAAAAAAGCCAATCGACAACAGAACCTCTTTCTCACCTTGTGTATTTGTTTTGTTTTTTATTATTGGTTTATAAAATAATAGGCACAAAGCATGCTGTGCCATTAGTTTCCATTGAAAATAAATAAAGTATCTATTTTACGTACCTAGGTACCTAAACATAAAAAAATTGGATCGTGTTTTGTAAGACAAAATGTCTTTGAAAAAATAAAAAGCTTCAATAATAATTATTAAAATTTATTTACAAAAGGTGGAAAGTGCTAAAATTAGAGTTTTTCCTTTGTGTTCTTGCATATTATTGAATTATAATATCCACCAATGCAGTAGAGCATTCCATTTAGGTATCTGACGATTTGCATTTCTTTTACTAGCTCTTGGATCTTTTACCAATATCTGAAATTATGTAAGACTCCTGGTAAGACTATTTTTTTATTATTCCTCCGAGTATTCCTCTATTTGTAAGCCCATTCATGTGCCAATTGCTTCCTGAAAATCTCATACCACCTACCACAACTAAACATACCACAAAAACAAGCTCTACAACAAAACGTCACTTTTACAGAGTAGAACAAAATTTGAAGTCATACCAGGCATGGAAATACAAATCCCTCCATAATCCCATTAGCCAATCAGTGCGAACTGAGTGAAAAAAGTTGCACTGATTCTGCAAATTGAAATCGCTATAATATTTAAAATGCTTTCATCTTGGCGCCATCTATAATTTTTTTTTAGAACTAAAATATAATTTGAAGGGGGGGCTGTTGCGGCCTTAATTTAATATTTAAGTTTCGCGGTCATGGTATACAAACTATTTTGTGTACAACTATAAGAATTATGTAAAGTTACAGAAAAACTGTATGGATTTGACAAGAATTTTACACATTTTGCACGTAAGGTGTGGCGGCCGCGAAAACTAATTTCGCGGATGGTTGCACAAAAATAACTAGTGTTAGTGATTGGCATAACAGAAGCAATGCAATTTTCGAAATAGTATCAGTATTTGCAACCACACGTCTTGGAATCTTGGGTTCGATCCAGCTGGGGGGCTGAGATTTGAAAGTATTCCAGCACCTCTTAAGTAGAGAGTACCATCCCAAGAATCCCAAGGGATATTGATATTGGCTGCCCAAAGCTGTTAGAGCAGGTATTTGGCCAACAAAGACACAGGAGAAATAAAACCGAGTGAATCGAAAATCCTTGCTGACTTGAAGGATGTTTCGCTTGGTGCAAGGTTGGTCAAGGGTCATACATCAGTATGAGAATATGTCAGAATTTGAGTCCCATTTTAAGCCTAGAATTTTGATAAAATTAGGCTCCTCTCTGTTCAATGAGCAAGACGTTTGAACTTCGCTAGGAGGCAAGGGGAGCTGGATATATGGTTGCTGGTTCACTTGCTAAGTTGAAAACCGGCCTTTTGCAAGATCTGGATAAGTTCTGTTTGAAGAGAAAGCGTGGATTCGAGGATTCGCTGTTAGGTAATCTACTTAATTGTCCCTTTTAAAGAACTTCATAGCTTCTGGAAAGCTATAGGTTCTTCTTGATTAGCTATAGTTCCTGGAGAGTTCTCAAGGCTAAATAGGGAGAAGATCAACTGACCTTAAAACAGTGACTAGGAAGTATTTTTCAAGCGGGTCGGTTGGATGGAACCGTCAGAGGATTTTTTGATAGTTGTCAAATTGGGGCTGAGCCAGGATCTGCCTGTATATCTTGACACAATCGGCCACAAAACAGTAAGTATGCAAGCGGAATGACAAAAGCACAGAAGAAATATCCCTTTGAAGTTTAGGTGTTGGTAAGGAGTGCTTCGTTCAAAGAGGTACTGCTCGAGCCGCGCTGGAATGATTCAAAGGTAAAGCATTCAAGTAGATGCTCCGGAGCTGCTGTATTGTTTTTTATATCCCTGTTCTTCTCATCAAAAAGAAAAAAGATAAAAGATGCTCCGAGCACGATTGTATTGAAATCCAGTGGCAGTGGTTTGGTCATTGTCGGTTTTCGTGTACGAGTTGCAATACGATATTACTCTTCCAAAAAGTTTCACACGTAGCTGGGTATTTTATGAATAAAATCAGACATTTTTTTTACAACTGCATTTCCCTCACCGATGCCCCATAGCTTCCGAATGGTTGGTCAGACGCAAGGGTCAGACATTGTTTTCACCATAGAGGTTTTGACAAGTTTCTGACACTGTCGCTGTCAAAATAAGAATTTCATTTTTTTTTATAAACCTTATAAACCTATTTTGACGATAGGTATACTTATTATCCTTTACACTGCAGAGTATGCGAAGCTCGAAGCGTTGTATATAAACACGTATGTAAATTTAACTATGTAAGAAGACGGCATTACGGGAAAATCTTACATGGTTATTCATCACCAATCAAATTATTTTCAGGAACATCAGGAATTAGAATATCGGAGAAAAAAAAATCTCTTTGGTGGATCCACATTTTTTAAATCTAAGGTAAGTGTTTAAAGCAAAATGCAAAAATGGAAATGTACCAACAATTTTTTCATGAACTTTGGTAATTCCAAAATTTTTCAAGGACTTGCCCCTTGTTTTATTCTAATCGGTGACTCCACCGATGAGTTAGCTATCTTTGTTTAGTGAATGGAAAATGACAATGACCAACATAGAATGATGAATCCATCGGTAAAATTTGTAAGAATAAAAACGCAGGGTTGTTTAAGGTGAGATTTGCTTGTACACTGTGTACAGACACTTGTACCCAATTAGGCAATCTCAATCACGTGTTTTTTTAATGGCCGTTCGGGTCAAATATTGCGGTGACAAGCCGGTGACATTTATAAGGAGAGCATTTGTGTCACAGAATACATATCCTCATGGATAGAAGGCAAAGCACAGAATACATATCCTCACGGATAGAAGGCAAACTGCCTAATAAAATTTTGGGGAACAATGAACAATAAAAGTTTCTGTAATCAAATCAGCTTTCAAAATAGTTCTTCCAATGTCAATATTTTCAATATTATAAGATTTGTTCGGACTTCAGTTCAGAATTGAACTACGCTTTCGCATTTCTTTATATAGGTTTGATATGACCAAATGCGCAAGCGCAGTCCAATTTAGAACTGATTTCGAACTGAAGTCCAAACAAACCTTTTTCCTCATTATTGAATATTGACGGATTTTTCTTCCGAGTAGAGCAAAAATGGCCAAACTTCTTGTGTTTTGTGTACAATCAACGGCGCACAGTGCGGCGGATTTGAATTCTAGCGAGACAAAACCGAATTTTTTAGAAACAAGGCAAAAAAAAATTGTTGATTAGAATAGATAGTAGACATTCTAATTGATATAAAAATTCAACAATTTTTTTTTTGTGTTGTATATTCTTTGTATTTTGATAAGCTTGTATCAACCCAATTTAGTCGTTTTCTGCTCAGCTTGGCAGAAGTGTTACGGAAATAAAAATTTATTAGTACGAATACGTTTTATTCAAAAAACAAATTATGTTGCAGATTGATAAAGGTAAGTACTTTTATACTGTAGTTATTTTATTCCCGAAAAAGCTTCGTGACTTTGTTCTACAGATATCAAACTTTCACTTTTTTTTCAAATATCGCCATATTGGGTGGAGTAGATCTTTTGAGTTACCAATAGTTACCACCAAGTATTGAGCAATTTTGATGCGGCAATATTTGTAGTTTCTATGCTCATATTTTTTTTTACCGCACGTTACCGCACCACTGAAAAAAAAAAATTTTTTTAGGAGTCGCGCACCGGTTTAGCCGCGAAGAATTATTTGAAGCCCTCAAGGAAAGAGGCGTTTTGAAACCAACTTCTAAGACCAGTTTAAGCGTTTTGTGGGATGTTGTGAAGCAATTTTTGGATGTCAACTGTCTTAGTGCCGGTGAAAAGAAAGGTGTTGAGACCCAGCTGCGATCATTTTCTATTATTTTTTATCGGAAGTGGAAAAAAAGCTGTTTTTCGTTAAAAAAATTTCGCGAATCTAATAAACCGTGGTTACAAGGCATTTTATTAGTCACAGGGAGTTCCAGCTCAACCAGTGGACGTTCAAAAGTTTCATTTCAATCTGCTAGCATAAAGACAAAACAACGACGCATTAAAGCGTTAACAGAAGCGCATTCGAAAGAAGAATTGGGTTTTGCAACTACTATGAGCTTAAGGGCTAGTGGGAGTCGAGATGCTGCTTCAATCGTTGAAACCTTAACCGAAACTCCATCGAAAGGAACAGAGTTAAAAAAATCAATAAATGACGCCAATAGTCAGTTTGGCAATTTTTCTCCTGATGAAGCTCTGGCTTTATTTGCGGATTTGAAATTAACACAAGCTCAATACCAACTTCTGAGGAATGCGTTAAAATCAAAAGGTCTTAAAGATGTTTTGCCCAGTTACAAGCATATTTTGACAGCTAAGAAAAATTGTTATCCAAATGGTATGGTAATTTCAGAGAAGGTTTCAGAGGTTGATCTTCAATCGTTACTTAGTCATACCTCAAAAAGATTGATAGAGTCCCAAGAAGAAGTATTATCTTCTTTCGCATCAGATTCCGATGATTCTCCCATCAAACTTAACATGTATGTTAAATGGGGTGCTGATGGTAGTGGTGGTAAAAATTGTTTCAAGCAAAATTTTGAGGTTGAAGTTTTTGATGATACAACTATCTTAACAACTTGCATTGTTCCGTTACGTCTCACACTCGATAAAAATGAACAAACAGTTATCTGGAAAAATCTGAAAATGTCATCTACCAGGTATTGCAGACCTCTGCGAATTCAATATATCAAAGAGACCAATGATGTAATAAAAGAAGAATTTTGCAATGTTCAGAAAGAGATTGATACATTGACAAATACTGAAATCTGTTTCGGTAAAAATAAGTATGTGGTTCACTATGTTTTGTTTTCTACAATGGTTGACGGAAAGGTCTGTAACGCTCTTATGGATTCCTCTTCACAAAAATGTTATATTTGCGGAGCAGGTCCCAAAGATTTCAATAATCTAGAAAACAAATTTCCCATAAAAAATATTTCTTCTTTAAACTTTGGATTATCACCACTCCATGCCTACATAAGATCCCTTGAATGCTTTCTGCACATTGCCTATCGATTAGATTTTTGCATGTGGAGAACACCTAAGGAAATGAAGCCTTTATCTATTGAAAGAAAAAATACCATTTCTACAGAGTTCAGAAAGCGAACGGGACTTCTAGTAGATGTACCAAAACAAGGATTTGGCTCTTCTAATGATGGCAATACGGCACGCAGATTTTTCTATGACCCTCAAATATCAAGTGAAATCACAGGAGTTGATAAAAATTTAATACATAGGTTCAGTGTTATCTTGAGAGCTCTAAATTCTGATTATCCAATCGATTTGGAGAAATTCGAGGGGTACGCTCACGACACAGCCCAAATATATGTAACACTTTATCCATGGTTTCCCATGCCTCCTACTATACATAAACTCCTTATTCATTCGAGTGAAGTTATCGAGCACTTTTTGTTGCCAATTGGTGAGCTATCGGAGGATGCCCTAGAGGCGCGTCATAAAGAAGTGAATTATTTTAGAGATCACCATACAAGGAAGATATCCAGAACTAAAACCATGGAGGATATATTTCATACGCTTTTAATAACCTCAGATCCTTTTATTTCTGGCCTTAGAAAACTTCCTTTTAAAAAAAATCAAGTTATTGATGAAGATGTTGTTCAGCTTTTCATTTGCGAGTTTAAGGTGTAGTCATATGTAAACGATGTCATTCTTGTTGATTTGAACATAATAGCTTTGTTTTGGTTTGGAAAAAAGAACGGTCTAAGGATGGTTCAAAACACTCGCACAGTTTATTATTGGAATTTTCGATAGCCGAGCCATTGTCACTTTGTTGATTGATAAACTGTGCGATTCTTTTTAACCGTTCTAGAACCGTCCTTTTTTCAAACCAAAATAAAGGCAATACCTATTTATATTATGTGTTCCTAAAATAGGGCTTTATTGTACGAATAATTATGTGCTATAAAGTGACTAGTCGAGAAAGCGTACACCTGATAATTTCCGTGGTATATAGATAATTTTATTTCCTACTGAATTTACTGTATTTTGTTCATTTTTATAAAGAAATAAACCATAAACAAAAATTTCTATATTTTTTCAAAGTTTCACCTATTGAAGGTAAAAGCGGGAGTTATGGAAATCCTTTACTTCCTTGGGAGTTATATCCTTAACTCCCTTGGGAGTTAAGACCCTGTTAATGATTATCGTAAGGTATAATATGGTTATAATAGTTCAGTAGGAAATAAAGTAATAAATTGGTGGGTTTGATTCAATTTACAGTTTATTTTCTTCTTATTTGAGCAGTAAAATGAAAGCATTTTTTTTATGTGAATTTTTTGCGAAAATGAACTCATTCTGTTCCAGTTACACTCAGTTATTTTGTGTGTGTCAAGTTTGTTTCTACTATTATACCGATAAACGGCCGCATAACAATATTGTTTATGTCCGATTGACCACTAAAGTGCTATTCATAGAACAGTTTTGTGTCAATAAAGTAGCACTTTATTTTACTGTAAAATAAAGTGCTACTTTATTATACTGTGAAATAAAGTACTACTTTATTTTACCAGTAAAATATACTAATTTATTGCATACCTGCCACGATGAAACAGGTAAACCCGAATTTCAATTTTTTCATTCAATTTTTTCAATCTTTAATGAGAACCAGACGCAATTGTACACGAAATCATGTATGTAGCGCTTATATAAATAGGCTTTATTGGCTCATTATTTAATAGCCTCGCCTGCAAGGTCGCTCGGCCATAAAATTATTCGTACAATAAGGCATTACTTTATGTACTTGTTATATAAATAGCTATCATTTATTTGCTCTTATTAGTATTTCAACTCTTAACTGGGGTGGTGTTCGTTTTGGTATATCATGCCTCTTGTGCCTATGGTACCTAGTTACCGGTTTAATATTTTGGAGCCGCTTTTATATTTATTTCTTTGTTTTTTATACAATTATTATCTATTTTTTTAAATATAATATGCATATGTATAATACATATGTATTATTCATGCCTCTATTCCTCTATATTCGTCCTTGGTAGTCGTTCTTGTGTAGATTGGTCCAGGACCCCAGCTGCCTCCCCTGAATGCGTTATGTCTGTCAAGAAAGTTGCAAGTTCTTGTCTCACAGTTACGATGTTATTTTCGGCGGGAACTGCATCGTAGCCAAAAATTATATATCTCAGTGTCTCTGGGCTTAGACGCTGCAAGGCCGGTCTGAAATGAACGTCGAATAGATTCATCATATGATGTCTTATGAGTTCTCTTTGATTTTCCATGGTGGTGTTTCACAAACGAAACTTTATAACTAAATAGGATAAATTCTTATTTATTTGTTCATGTTTTAAATTTTATCAATAAGTACTATGCTAGAATTCTTTATGGTAACAAAAAATTTATGTTTATTTTGTTTGGGT